TTGCTTGGGATTTCGATTCTCCCGGCGAATTCGGTCAGTGTATGTCAGTACGTTGTGTGGTGCCTCCGCCACAATTCAACGGTCCGGGTGATGGCAGATGGATCTTTTGTACCGCCAAGGTCCACAGAGACCTGTTGCAGCTGTTACAGATCCGGTATGGGTTTTGTTCAGAGAGACCTCTTGTAGCTTCCTTGTACACTTTCCACACACACTCACACAGAAATGGATATATGCAGAGTGTATTCAGCTCTAGGTGATTTCCCCTAAGCTGGCAGATGATCCATTTTCCTTGCTGGTGGCAAAATACAGAGTCAACGTCTGAAAAGTCGACTGGTTCGAGTGCCTGTATTTTAAACAAACCGTTTTGTCTCAGGTTAGTGAATGTTATATCACCGTATCACACAAGTTGGCAATCTTTGGCCTCAGATTCGATGTCTTCTTTTTTTGAGACGAGCCTTTTCTTACAAGCAGTTCGGGGAAGACGAGCTGAACATGTCACTTCCACGGTTTCGTCTCCCTCCAGATGAGCTGAAAACCTTTGTATACGGCAAAAGCAGTACCACCGCAAAACAGGTTTGTATATATAGCAAGAGATGGCAAATCATGGCGAACGTACTTCAGCTTCATCTCCGCTTCCGGATCTGGCCCGTGTTTTAATCAGCGAAAGCATTGCGAAGGCGTTGCGAACCTGGCCACGGTCAGTGCACTTTCGATCCAGGTTCCAACGCCAAGCTGTATGGCTACACACGTGTGGCAGCGTGGCGCTCCAGGTCAGTGAGGGGGAAGTAGCGCTTGTGTGCGTGAGAGGCTGTAGCGCATGCGCTTTTTTGTTTCATCCATGTGTGTATGACAAAAACAGCATCACAGTGGAACCTGTTCTAAGGTCTGAAGTCTGAAGTACGTGAACAGATGTCATCACCGGCGCCAGCCACGTCCGGGCGCCTTTGCGTTCGCCCGGAAGCACCGGGGCAGGTCTCCTGCGGCGACCCAGCACGGCGCCGGGGACACGGTGTTTGTTCAAAGTCTGACTCAGGAGTTGCGGTGTATGTACCCAGGGCCGCGGTAGTTGATTTCAGGGCTCAACGTAGGCCATTCTACGTTGTTAATATTGGTTTTATAATGATTACATCAATGAATTGATGGTTTTAATTTTCATGTTCGACTGATTTATGGTTTGAGACTCTCGGCCATGTTTGGCGCATTTTGGTGCACAAAATAACCAATGCATGAGAACTTGCTTTCACGGCTCGACCTGTTCGCGCAACCAGTTTCAACGGGTTGACCGAGAGGAGACTGATTTGTTTCTGACCAAAGGAAAAAATGATCATAATCCAACCACCGGTCAGGCTGCCCCCTGACTTCCGAAGACACTCTCTGAATTCACCTTTCAAAATTCCTTGTTCCACGCACCTAAACCCACGAACACAACTAGGATCTTCAAAAAACTATCCACCGTGCCGGTTGCTGGGATGAGCAGGACTTGTCCCGAATCCGAAGACCCCCGAGTCCCCCTCTGACCGTGCGGCGCGCACGGCGTCTCGGCCCGAGAAGGCGTCTCGGCCCGGCGTCAAGTTTCCCAAATCGCATCCGGCGGGTCGAAAGGAAAACCCCAGAAATTTAGTTTTAATTTAAATCTAATAGCAAACATTGTTCTACTAGCAAGGTTTGTACATCAATCTCAAAGCAAAGGGGCACGACTCCATGGGGCATGATGGTTTTGCTGTTGTCAGCGTGATCATAGTCACATGGGGTTTGACAGCGCGATCCACCGGGTGACTGTCTGATCTGTCTGGTAGAAGATGAAAGCGGCGAAAGGCTTGGTGCCATTGAAGGTTTGAAGAGAGATGGTTATCAGTTATCACTCCAAATGGGCGTGTATTGGAGCCCGCGACCACCCAAGCCTTGCCCAAGGCTCGAGTTAACGATGGTTTTGTCCCCTGGTACCTGTGACTACTGTATAAGGTTAGATGTTCAGTTCACTGTGTACTTGTTGTTTTTCTGTTTCACCAAAAGGACCGTGATGACACTACAGTCTAGTCTATTCTGTGGACCATGTGACACTGTGCCACTTGTCAGCGATTCTGCGATCGAAGAAGACGACCAGTCCAGCTGTGAGTCTCAGATGGTCAGGCGCGTCGTTCTGGCGTCGTTCTTGATCAACGACTCTTTTGAGGAGCCACTTCTCGGTCAAGTTGTTCTTTCAGGAGAATGATGGCAATGTACAACACGTGGCTGTTGTTCTTGTCACCAGGAAACCTTGCTTGACCTACCTGAAAGGTCGAGCTCCCAAACAAAAGCAAGTTGGGGACACCAAAAAACTTCATGATGCCCTCCCAGAGGTCAGCTGGGCGTTTCATGAGCTTCTTCGTTTTGCAGCTGGGCGTCAGCATGCGCACAGATCTTAGTGGCAAAAAAATAACTGGCTGGTATGGTCACTTCCATTCTGTTTTGTATATTTGTATTACTGGTTGGCATTTGTGTCCTAGTTTGGCAATGTTTGGCAACCTTCATATTATATTCCCTTGGAAGGGTTGACCCTTTGGCTGCCTTGGCTTCTTGTGTGAACAACAAATGCCTAGGGAGGATTGCTGCAGAGAACAAAGAACACACTTTGCTGCAATAGCATAGGATACCCTGCAGCGCTTGCAGTATCATGCAGTATCTCCGAGCATGTTTTGAACCCCTAGATTCTACATGTAGATCTCCTACCCAGAAGCAATGTGCAGAAAGCCAAGCCGCCTCCGTCTGGGCATGTTCAAGTGAGCAGCTCAAGGAAAGAGCGAAACGCCCAGGCTCTCCTTGAGTGCAGCAAGGAGAGTAGTTCTCAGCGGAAGGGGAGACTGCAAATGTTCAGAGAAACCAAGTGTTACATTCTCATACATTCTCATACATTCGATCATTTTGACTCACTTGACTCACTCACGAGCCGAGACCCAGTGACTTCACTTGAGCCAAGTTTCGCAGCATCTCTGCCCCCAAATCCGCTCAGATCGACCTCCACTTCTGCATTGGCCCATTTCCCGACCGCCTCTTCGACCGAACAAACACCGACTCGGGCTGCGAATCCACCCCATCCGGTGGAGGGTGCAAGGTCGCCCCGTCGCGGACCGAGCTCACAGCGACCCGGACGACGCGTCGCTTGAGCGAGCTCCGCCGGTGGAATGGCTTGAACAAAGCCGCTCTGCCGCGGCAGATGGGTCCAGAGGCAAGATGTGCCTGTCATCCACTACAGTGTGGCGGTCATCCACTGGGATAGCCCGTTACGTGATGCACATGATGCACAGCTCAAACAGGTACGCACAGCTGAGGTACAACATACTACAAGCATGTTGTAGATTCTCAACACGCAGGGTGCTATTGTGACACCAAAAAGAAAAGCAACTAGCAAGGAGTATTCGTTCAAAACATGTTTTGAATGTTTCCGTCCTTTCCAATTGGAGATTGTCCATATCGTCCAGGGCTTTCCTTGTGGCGTTTCAGCCGATGCTTTGGTTCCTGACCTCCCAAAAACTGCGCCGGCACGGAGGGGGCGTTTTGGGCATGGAGGTCGTCAAGCTGGTACTGCAAGGTACTCGTACTCTCAGTATTCCCCTGGACCGGGTTTCAGATGAGGCTGGCACCTAAAAGGAGGTCAATCCGACAGATGGGGTTCCATGTTTTAACCACCGACCTTGGGGAGCTGGTGCCATCTACTCTCAACCTACTACAGTACAGTATATCTGATATGGATATATCTCTTTAAACATCTTAAAACCAAGCAGACCGACGCGCTGCATCCAGTTGTGTGAACCCCACCCAACTTGACTCTTCCACTTCAAGTGGATGCCATGGCCTTTGGGAAGTCTTCTGTTCTGAATACAAACAGGGTGTGCACCACTTCCACGTGACATGTTTGACCGGATTGAGTGGAAAATGACACTCCAGACACTCCAGTGAGGACCTCACTCACCTTAACTGGGTGGGATTGGTGTTTGGAGCTGGTTTTCCACCGCAGGTACATTGATCTCATGGAGTGTCTGGTGTTTTAGTTACTGTATGTTACTGTAGTGCACGTCCGCAAATGTAACCCATGCATATCATGTAATCATGTAGCTGAACACAAAGCTAGAAGCACTTCCAAGCATTTAACACTCCTCTTTGCAACGTCTTCATTTTAGATTGTACAACGTCTTCATTTTGCTGAATTGGGTTCTAGAATTCAATCCTTTTTAGAGTAACTTCGACCATCCCCTAGGGCGACCCACGGCCCACCTGAGAAGATGCTTGGAGCCCTAGAGATCACTGCTTGACCGACTCCGGAGGCCTTACGAGGCCATGGCGTGACCCACCCACCAGAGCCACGAGTGAATTGGGTCTTCGTTCGCACCCCACAGATGTGGTTTGGGGCGAAGCGAGGGGCGAACCGTTGGACCCGTGAGAACGGTCGGTGGTTTGGGCAGTGAATGGACCGCTGGAGAGGTGCCATTCAGGGTGCCTCAAGACTCAATTGCCGCAAGCTGTGGCTCAAAGCTGCGCAGTGCAGAGATTTTACATGGGTTGCACCTCCCAAAGTGGCAGAGAGGTCATGTGACAGTCATGGTGTGTTGAGTCTATTTTGACAGAATCCAGAATTCCATACACCATCCATCAGCCCTTACATGTGGACACTACCCGACTAGTAATCCACCCAAAAAAAGGAGAGACACGTCCCAAGGAGAGACTGCGCTCCAGTTCCCAAGCACTAGTTTACTATGCATTCAGCTCGAGTGGTCTCGTGGTTTTAGCTGTAGGACCATGCCAGCACTGGTTTCGGAGCATCGACAGACAGTAGCTGTAAGTAGGTGCCTGAGCACTCAAAGAGCAGCATAGTTCCACTTGTTTTCAGTCCACAGGTTGTAGCGAGTCTCCAGGATTCTGCCAAGTCCAATGGAAGTCCGTTTTCTGTCTTCGTTTACAGCGCACATTCACAGACCTTCGGAACGCAAATCCTTTGCACTCTGCAGTTATTACGCCGTACGCCAGTTCGATTCCAACCTTCTCTCGTCGCATGCCTTCGTCACTCCACCCATGGCGTGCCATTCACCCTCGCTGAAGTGATGTCCGGGAGCCGAATCCGGGGATGTCCCGGTGAACGCTGCGGGTGGAGCCTTCGCGCGAGCTGAGCGGACCGTCTGCGGCGATGGAAGGCTGAACTCGGCCGAAGGCGGAGGGGCAGGCGGCATTGTTGGACCCCCTAAAGGCCTGCAAGCAAAAGAAAGGAACCTGATTGAGACTGATTGATCACTCCAAGAATGAACACATGTCTCCTCCTGCACAGCTGGCAGATCACGCACCTGATCAGTGGACCAGTTCAGTCATTTTTTCGTTCTTCCACAAGAAGCGGAATGTCTTTGTGAAGTGTTCTCCTCATTTCTCATGGAAGATATTGGAAAGTGGATATTTGGTGTTCATGTTTCTTGCCTGTTGCTTCTTTCTAGGCAATCTGATCTGAAACCAATCGCCTCTTTGTTTGACCCGGAACCCCCAGTCCCCTCACAGACCAAGGTCGGCGACCGAGACACCGAAGGCAGATGGGTCGATCAGGGTCAAGATCTAGCCTTAAGGATTTCGGGTGTCTTTCTTCCTACTATTCCGTCGCAACCTACGTATGCATTTGTATGCATTTTGTATCATTTTGTCATATTTTGTCCCAACAAAGAGGGCCCCATGTCCCCGGGGGGAAAGTTGTTTACCTGCTAACTGCTGTGGCTGCTGTCAATATCCGGGAAACATGCAGGAACTGCATGTATTGATAACCTGTTCTTGTTCATCGATTCTCATGTGTTTCCTCTTTTGCAGGCGGTTTTTATTGAGGTTCCTAGTTGCAACCCCTACATGAGAATATGAAGCATCTCCCTCATATGAGATCGTTATTTCCATTTGCACCAGCAGACCAAACCTGAAAACACTTGTTTGGTGGACAATACTTCGATGGGCTTGGATGTTTCATTTCAATTTCGGTGTTCAGGCTCGGATCAGTGATCGTGTTTACTAAAAGTTACTTGAGGGGGGTGTTTTCTTTTTGTCCTGAAAAACACATGGCTGAATTATATGTGAGTGTATACATAAGAATATGTATATTATATGTTTATATTATTTATCTTGCAGGAGGACTCACCCGAATTGCATTACATAGGGTACTGATACTGCAGAAGTGCTTGTCCATCAGTGAGAAGGTAGGTGTAGGATCGTGATGGTATGAACCCTGACTTACGTGCCCAGCGACAGCGTATATGGAACCCAATCTATCTCCTCTATGTATGGATTTGTGTGAAACACATATCCTGAAAACTACCAGAGATCAAGTATCTCACAATACTCCTCTGAGTGTTTAGCGTTTGAGGGTCAAACGTGTAAGAGTTCTTCCCTCCAAAAGCCTAAGTCATGCTGAACATTTCGTCTTGTTCAGTCTTGGAAGTCATTCCTTGCACACACCTGCGATGTCGCCCCCAACACGCAGCAACGAGAAACGGGCGCTCAACGGGCGCGAAGACACGAGTGGCATCTTCTTTCTCCGTCCAGCAAAGACACGGGGAGCTCCTGCTTTAACCGTTGTTTTTAGTGGATGATGATGATGATGATGATGATGGTGATGGTGATGCTGATGCTGATGCTGATGGTGATGGTGATGATGATGGGGACCCCCCCCCCCACGTAAATATGTAACAGATCTCAGGTGATGACCATCCCAGCAACCTCCCAAACTCTCAGTTCCCACCAGGCGAAGCCGGGTGGACCTCCCGAGGACCCGCGGGGGGGGGTTGGGTGCGATCCAACTCACATGTTGACTCACCATGCAAGTCGAGGAAACGGCCTCTCAGGCCCGGACTGCTCCAAGTTGAGCCGGTGTGAGAGAAGCTAAATACTGTAACCCCCGCCAAACCAGCGTATTTATCATGATTTTATCAAGTGTCTACTTCGATCTAGTGTCTGCTGGAATCAGAACTTGCACGCCACGATTGGGCCACGTATGGGAAGCCTAGAGGTCTCACTATCCAAACCCCAGACCTATATCCTAATTTTGATTTGGCATCATGAGTTAAAAATCGCGTGGCAGTCTGGGGAGTTTGCTGGGTTGGATTACCTCTACCATGCTGGGGGTTTGCTGGTCTCAAGGAGGATGGCACCGCCGCCCATGAGGCAGGGCAATGCTTGGAAGATTGGCTGTGCCCCGCGCTGGTTTGTTTCATCCATGGTAGATACTGCCCTATTGACTTGTGCCTGGTAGGGAATGATGGAATGGATCCAAATGAATCTCCAGTGAGGGCTCATCCCCTCATTCCCTGATCTACTGAGCCGGATCGATCCACCCCTCTCAAAGGATGATTCATGGGCGTCGTTGGCGCTCCAAGTAGTGGTTGCCCAGGGCTGGTGGACAGTCGAACAAGCTGAACATACTGAACAAGATCGATTTCGCCCGATGTCAGCCGATCCTTTTGGTCGGTATGAACAAGCTACAGACAATGCCAAGATCTCGTCGTGTGATTCCTACTGATTGCCGCTCTTGTCAGTCTTGTCAGGGAACAGAAGATGTTGGACTTGAAGAGGCTATACCGGTGCATCAGGCGCGGGATTTCGGCTAGCTTTCACGGGAGTTTGGATTCCAGCGAGGATTAGAGTAAGCCGGTGAAATGCGGTGTCGATCCGCGCAAGATGACAGAAATGATAACACATTTGAACAAGACGTTGAAGTGCTGTCAACAGCAAAAGATGGTTGTCTCTTCGGCATTATTTCTATTCAGATACCTTCGAACATGTCCTGGCACGCAGGCTTCAGCCCCAGATCAAGACCAATTTGCCATCAACTGTGGGGAGAATAACCCACGTAATGTATTGACTTTTGACTAATGACCTGCCCCCCTGACGAACTTCAGGTTTGACACTCGAGGGACATATATTCATAATGTTTCAGCACTATTCATCTATAGCGCGCCCATCACATGGACCGATGTTGTTTTGTTTTGTTCTTTCGTACCTTGCTGAAGACTCTCATAGACCCTGAAAATCACTGGTTTCTAGAGGAAACCCGTCTTTCAGGGGGTCATTCTCAGGGTCGTTAGTTGCCGGGAGTGGAACCAAGGCAATCCAGAGAGACTGGAGAGAGACTGGAGAGACATGACTGGAGAGCAACATGACTTGCACAAGATGCTTTTGAAACAAGTTTGTCCACGAGAAAGCCTTTGTTTGATTTGGGGAACATTGATGTTGCATGATCTTTCCTGGATGTTCTGGCAACAAAACATGATTCCATGAAGGCTGCGTAAACTACGTGTTCCACCTTTTCAGATGTCCTTTCGTTCCTTCCGCCAGGCCCATCCAGGGGGTGCTGAAGTGGAGGAGACTGCGCTGCAGTCAGCGCAGGCCCTCTCGGCAGCCCGAAAAACCAGGGATGGAAAAACCTGGTGAAAGCTGGAAGTAAAGAGCTGGTACAAAGCCGGGTGTACAACCAGGTGGAACTGGGGGCTGCCTCCTTGAGATTGAGACCAGTGAACATCCTCCCACAGCCGAATTTCTGTCTTGGGCCTTGCGCAGAAAGATCTAGATTCAACGCGCAAAAACAAGTTTGGAAAACAGGGGTGAGCAAAAGGGCTTGTCCAGGGACTTAGTAAGCTATGCAGCTATGCGGCTATGCATGTTTGCCCAGCTTTTGGAGAAGACACGAAAAGCATCGTCTTCGCTCCAGATGAGTTAGAATCGATTCGACACATGCTGGCAACTGAGATGTTCTCGTCATCGATGCTTTTGAAGCGGGTCGAACTGGAAGGTTCTCGTCAGCAGAAAGGGGAACATGAGAAAACGACTACGACATGGGGATAATCCCTAGGGCTCCAACCATCTCCTCAGGTTCGGTGGTTAGACCCCTGGCATCCACCCCAACCATCTTCTCAGGAGGTGGTTGGAGCCGTAGGGAATATCATCTCCTCTATTCCCTTCAAGGATCAGACTGTTACTGTTGAACACAAGCCTTCCATATGTTACTGTAGATGTAATAGTAACGGTAGGGTTTGATTCATTCTACCAACTACAGTACATACCAACTCATTCTATGTCTGCCAACGGGCATGTACCAACTCATACCAATTCATTCTATGGCTGTACTACTGTAGATGTAGATGCCTGCATTCTTCTTGGCCCAGCCTACAGACCGCATATTTGGACTGCGCAGGATGCTCCGGACGATTGCGAGGTCGCCATCGGGGGTGAAAGCCGCGCGCAGGCGAGGCGTTTGCGGAAGGGCACGGAGAGACCGGACCGGGAATCCGGTCTTCCGGGCCCGCGGAGAAGAGGTCCTGCAAGCATGAAGATGAGTGAATATGGCTTTGGGTCTTGGCACCAAGATACCGTTGACCTACCAGGTGTCGGTCGTTCGTGAAGCCGGCTGGTGAACTGATAGGTCGTTCGTCCCATCCCCATATCGCGCGGGGGACATGTTGATGTGTGATGATGTAGATGGTATGTGAAGTGAGCTTCAGATGTGATGTGTGGATTCATCATGATTCAATCCAAGCTCTCTATAGATTGGAAGCTTCGAAGCTTCCCACAACAGTTGCCTAATTGTTTAGTGAAAGTGTTGAAAGTGGCTTTGAATAGAGGGACCTTTTCGCCATAGCGGCCAACTTTTGCACCGAAGTGGATCTGAAAAGCAGAGCCACCCACACTGCCTGAAGCTGATCAACTTCCACCACTCAATCAAGGAGCTTCAAACTGAAGTATACTGAAGTGGTAAGCAGCACCAACAGACCTTTAAACTGTCCTTCAAGTTGGAGGTGTCATTCAGAGACCCTATCCTTGTGCTATCCTTTCCGTCACAGCGAGCCGACCCAGTGGGCGGCCAGGTGGTGCCCAACTCCAGCATGAAGGCACAGGTGGGCGTGGCGGACGGCAGGGCCTGGCAGGGCAGGTGGTGCCGCGCAGGAGCACGGGATCGGAGAAAAAGGCCTACAAGGCCTACACATGCCAAATCAAGGGATGAGTAGAATGTATGATGCAGTCACTTGCCAATCCCATCTCTCTGTAGGAAGAAACAAGAAGAGCAGTGTAACATACCAGAGGGGTTTTGTTGGTCCATGAAAGGAGAGATCGTTGTAAGAATGTGTGCGAAGAGTGTCGTTGGCCCATAAGAATCCTTTGGCTCTCCATACAGAAGGGGCCCCCAAAGCAGGTGTCCTTACTTACAGTAGAACCTCTGTGCACAGTCGGTGTGGGCAGCATTATATATATATATATATGTGTGTGTGTGTGTCCAATGGATATCTATTGTGGTCTCCAGGTAAGAAAGCTGTCAGGTCGTTCTGATTTCCAACACCGTGGTTTTAGAAGTACGGTCCATTCATCTTCCAGAGCCTCATGAATGGTACGTGCCCTCCAAAAGACTCATGTTCCGAAAGCTCCGTCAACAAGAAAGTCCTCAGGGCCGGGAGTGAAAGGTCTTAGCTGAAGGACGTTATGACTTCGGGCAGGACAGGTGTCAATGTAGACGTGTTGATTCCCAAAAGAGCTCCCTACCAGAAGAGTTTGACATCTCCATATGATCCTATGCCCCCATGATTAATCACAGAGCAGGTCACCTTTTCACCGTAGCATTGGGGCTTAAGTGAGGGAAAGTGAATGGGAGAGGGGGGCCAACCCCCCCCTCTCCCAGTGTGTGACCGGTGCCGGCACTTTAAGGTGCGCGACCGGTCGGTGACCACTTGTGGACCGTGCCGCAAAGCATACCAGCTTCAGGTATCGGTCCGCAACGTCGTTCCGGCTGAGCAAGACGAGTCTGCGGTAGTCGTCTACGAAGGCTGCTTTGGACTCTTGGAGGACTGGCTCAAGGAGATCAAGGGATTGACCAGTCGAAGGGAAGCAGCCAAGGAACAGAAAGCCCGGCAAGAAGAGAAGCCCCAAGAGAAGCCCGACAGTAAGAAAGAAGCCTCAACAAAGCCTGCCAGCCCCCACAGTTCAGCCAGACCTCCCGAGGACAAACAAGTTCAGCATCCCCAGACAACAAGCCGCCCGTCCAGTGCGAGCAAGGGTCCCCACAGATTACCCTTGCCTCCACCTCCTCCAGCCCCTGCAGAGGGACAAGGGAGCGCGAGTAGAGGCTATAGCTCCCAGACAGTCAAGGTGCCTACACCAAGCCAGCGAGGACCAAACCCCAAAGTTGAGCGATCCGAGACAAAGCCGGCCACTCCAGACAAAAGCAAAAAGAGCTCGTCCGCTGAAGAGGTTGAGGTTGAGGCCGACGAAGAACCAGCGCAGCCCCCCAGCCAGAAGAAAGAGAGATCAAGAAGAAGGAGAAGAAGGGAGAGGTCACACTCATCTCCCAGTTCGAGGAGCCGAGAGAAAAAGAAGAAGAAGCGAGAACAGCGGAAAGAAAAAGAGAGAGGCCGGCGAAGAAGGAGGTCTCCTACGAGAAGCTCATCGGTGACAGGGTCACGTGTCCGTGAGGCAAAGAAGGCCGCCCCGGTGAGGCTCAAGTCTCCAGCGCCAACCCCGGTGCGGGACCCGCCAGCGCGAAGGCCACCAGTCCGGAACCCCGGTCGGCCCGCCGTGCGCCAAGGCCCAGGTTGGATCGGAAAAGTACCCTGGTCCAACCATCCTAGGTGGTGGGCTGGGAAGAACAAAGGAGTGACCCGTCGTGCAAAGCAGGAGCTCTTCAATCGCCGCCGATAATGCCTCCTCGAGCGCGGCCGGCTGCCAGGAGTCCGGCGTTGCGAAAACGACCTGCAAAGCACGTGGAGGCTGATGAGAAGGTCACCCGGCTGCACTCCTTCAGAGAGCTGGCCGCGGTACAGCTGAGGACCCTCGGCCTGGTGGAGCTCGCACAAGCGTCCTACTATGAAGGGCACATCAAGCTTGCGGGCTATGTGGAAGGGCTTGGTAAAGATGATGGATACCTGACCTTCCGAGCAACAGGCACGCAGTCGGACCATATGACCGAGTTCCTCTCCGACCCGAAGAGATGCATCTTCCAGCTGCATGTGTGCGGTCCGGATTGTGGACGAAAAGAAACAGGCCCGGACATCGTCCATGCTGCAGGCTATTGGCTCGTCGAAGAAGACAGGCGGCCCTGGCATACTATGTATGAGGAGGTTGAGGCCAAGCCGGGAGCAGTCGATGAGATGAGTTCATTGCGGCAGCTGCATGAGGAGCAGAAGAAGAAAGAGGCAAGGGAGGACCCACCTCCCAGTGAAGGGTCAGAGCAGCGTAGAAAAAAAGAAAAAGAAGAGGGCAAAGGACAAGGAAAAGAAGACCAGCAAGCCTCCTCCGAAGAAAGATGAGGTGGAAGGAGATGCGGAAGATCATGACTATGAGAGGGGACAAAAGTCCCTAAGGGCCATTTTCGGAGGAACCTGCCTGGACCCTGAGGTGAGCTCAAGGCTAAAGATGTTGAAGAGGGCGAGGAGATTCAGCAACAAGGGCGCCAAGAAGAAGAAGCAGTCGAGCAGTGGCGATGCTAGTACCTCCTCCTCGTCTAGTGAAAGTGAGGATGAAGACTGGGAGGAGGGCTTGTTTGAAGAGAGAAGGAAAGCCCTGAAACTGACCAGGCGGTTTCCAGGCAGTTTGGCATCGCAAACCATCAGCAGTATGAAGGAAGCGATGCTGACCTCGGCTGGGACGTTGCATTCGCAAGACAAGAGGAGCCTACCCCCGCTGTTCACACAGTATTTCAGATCGGAACTCCAGGGCCTGTGCGGGCCGTCGATGAACCAGGAGTTGTTGACGCTATGCCAAGGGGCGGACCTTCTTCTACAAGGGCATGTAGCCCGCACTATGGATCTGTTGGCTCAGAGGGTGAAGGCACTAGAGCAGCAATCCAGAGGAGGGCACTGGTCCGTGGCTCGTCAACTAGAGCTAGTCTCGGCCGAAGCAACTGGGCTGAGTCAAGGGCCCGAATCGGCGGAGGCAGCTCGTAATGCGAGGGAGGGGCTGAGAAACAGATTGGCCTCCCAGAGACCGTACGGCTCCGCTGGCAGAGAGAGAGGAGAGGCTCCGAGTGGCAAAGGAAAGGATCGCTATGTCCCCCCCCAACGAGAAAGGAAAAGGAGAGAAGGGAAAGAAAGGAAAGGGCAAATCAAAGCAAAAAGAATGACGAGTACACATGGCAAAAAAAGACATCGTTGAGGGAGAGACAACAAGAGGTTTGGTTGAAGCAGAGGATTGGAGGCGAGGAGCGGAGGTTTGTTCAGAGAGGATGCGTGAGGAGGTTGAACAGAGTGAGGCAGCAGAGGCTATAGAATGGCTGTTGAAAGATTCTCAGGAGAAGGGCTTGAAGCAGGGCAAAGTTGAGGGCAAGAGGCGGAAGATTGGCCAATGGCCGTATGAGGAGTTGAGAGGGGAGCCCCAAGGCTCCAAGTGTGGTGTCAGTGGAAGCGCCGCATTGGATGAGCCTGGTGACGTTGAGTTGAAGTTGATGGATGGACAATTCTCCGAAAGGGAGGGAAACTCCCAGCGTTTGAGTCGAAGGGTTGCTGCCAGCAATAGAGGAGCTGGGAGACACGCTTCAAGTGGCTATACCTCCCTGCCAGAGAGCAGGTCGAGAAGGACTTTGCTGGACCCAAGCGGGCGACAGGCCTTTGAAGATTGTCGCCTCAACCTTGCTACAGCATGTCGAAAAAAGGGGTTGACTTTTGAGGAGCTTGGGAAGGTGCTTGCAGAGACGTTGAAGGTGCAAGAAAAGACATTTACGCGTTGCAGCGAGACCAAAGGGGATCTCTTCCCCCTGCCCCTTCCTTCGTCTCTGGAGGCCGTAGGATTCCAAGGCTTTTGTGCAGATGCATTGGTGCAAGCATTGAATTCATTGTATGGGACAAGAACCATTGAACGTGTGAGGGAAGACAAGACACGGTTGAACATGGTAAACCGGTTGCTGAAGGTAGTGGAGGATTCGGAGGTGAGAGGTTGTGAGGTTCCCGACCTTGACTTTGGGAAGTTCTTCAAAGCACGTTCGGTCGACTACTCCGGTGAGATCGTTCAGGTCGCACGTCGATTCGATTGGCGTATGGTGGAGGCTGCATTCCCCGAAGCCGTCGGTAGTCTAGAGTTGGTGGATTTCTGCGAGGGGGGAACCCTAGCCTACGTGAAGAACTTTGAAGACTTTCTTCTGCCGCCCCAGGATCAACACTTGGGGAAGGTGCCCAGCATCATGGTGGAGGCCAGCCACTGGGCTGAGGTCTGCGCAGGGCTCGTTCGTCGGGGTGTGTGTCGACTCATGCATGTTAGTGAACTCCATCACATAGGAGGGCGACCATTGATGAACGGATTGTTCGCCGTCAGCAAGCAGGAACAAGCCACAGATGCCCAAGGGAACATTTTTGAAGTTTGTAGGCTGATCATGAACCTGGTCCCCACCAACGGGTGCTGCAGGAGCTTGGTTGGAGACACAGCAACTCTCCCAAGTGTGGTAGGTATGTCATCCATAGTGCTTGACGACAATCAGCTCCTGGTGACCTCCTCAGAGGATATCCGTTGTTTCTTTTACCTGTTTCGGACGCCCCCAAGTTGGTGGAAGTACATGGGCTTTGGACGGGAGGTTCCTAGAGAGGCCCTCCCAAGTGGCTATACTGGAGGAGGGTGGCACCTAGTCACACAGGTGTTGCCTATGGGATTCATCAACTCTGTCGCTATTGCGCAGCACGTGCACCGAAGAGTGATCAATCAGGCGTTGACAGGTGAGTCTAGGCTAGCGTCAGGGCATCAAGAGATCAGACGAGATCGAGCTTCTAGCAGTGCACCCCATCTGTTCCGAGTCTATCTAGATAACTATGATGAGCTCAAGAAGGTTGACAGGCAGCTTGCGGAAATGATCGCCGGTAGCCCCTCCGCTTGGACCCTGGCAGTAAGACAGACATATGAGACGCTTGGGCTCCCTCGTCATCCCAAGAAAGCAGTGACTCAGCAAGTGAAAGCCGAGGTTCAGGGTGCTTGGGTGGACGGAGAGTTAGGCAAAGCAGGACCCAAGCCGGACAAGGTGATGAGGTATGTGAAGCTAGCGTGTGAGGCAGTGATTCAAGGAAAGGCTTCGCAGCGGGAGCTCCAGGTCATTGGAGGAGGCTTTGTATACATTGCTATGTTCAGGCGTCCTCTGTTGTCAGGGCTTAATGCCATCTGGCGGAGGGTCGTAGAGCTCAGCAGGTTGAAGCCCACTCAACGGGCGCCTCTGGGGGGCAGAGGTAGAGCATGAGCTCCTCAGGTTCGTGGCACTGATCCCCCTCGCTTACATGGACTTTCGAACTCCCATATCAGAGAAGGTGACTGCTAGTGACGCTTCAACTACAGGTGGAGGTTTGTGCGTGTCCAAGCAGCTCAGTCCCTATGGCGTGGCAGCCAGTATGGCCAGTTGCAGGGGAGACCTGATCTCCCAGGATGAAGTTGGGTCGATCTTGGTGGTGTCACTGTTTGACGGCATTGGAGCCCTGCGTGTAGCTGTTGATTCACTGCAGGTACCGGTTGCGGGTTATGTGTCCGTTGAGATATCGCCTGAGGCTCGTCGTGTCGTGGAGAGTTGGTTTCCCGAGGTCATTGCGATCGAGGATGTGCAGAGCATTGATGAGAGCGAGATTAGTAGTTGGTGCCTGCGTTTCCCCGGAGTGTGCGCGGTGCTTCTTGGTGCGGGCCCCCCCGTGTCAAGGTGTGTCGGGTTTAAACACTGACAGGCGAGGGGCGCTGCGTGATGTGAGATCTTGCTTGTTTGCTCATGTCCCTAGGATTGAGAGCATCCTCAAGAGGTTTTTCACATGGTGTCCCACCTTCACCCTCATCGAGAACGTCGCGTCCATGGACGCCCATGATTGTCGGACCATGTCAGAGGCGTATGACCTCTCTCCGTGGCAGGTGGACGCTAGTGGCTTGTCATTGTGTCGGCGACCTCGCTTGTACTGGTTCAATTGGGAGCCTCGCACTCTAGTTGGAGCCACCGTTGTACCGGGCGAACGTCATCGACTACCGTTGGCCGGATCCATTCACTTAGAGGCAGCTATAGATGAGCGTGACTTCTTGGAACCAGGTTGGAAGCTCAATTCGCCCGGACGGTTCCCTACTTTCACCACCTCACGACCATCAGAGACGCCAGGCCGTAAACCCGCAGGTTTGGCTTTGTGTCCGCCAGAAGCGAAAGCCAGGTGGCATGCCGATAAACACAGGTTCCCGCCTTATCAATATCGATGGGAGAACTCCGTCAGCAACTCCCAGGGCGAAGTGCGCGTGCCCTCGGTTGTGGAAAGGGAGGTCATCCTTGGATTTCCCTCCCAGTATACAGCAAAGTGCGTGCCGAAGGCTGAGGTAGGAACCACTCGTTGCAACGATGTCAGGCTTACGCTGCTGGGAAACAGTTGGTCGGTGCCCGTGGTTGCGTGCCTGCTACATTGCCTCTTTGCTACGATTGGTTTGAATGACAAGAAGTCAGTTCAAGAGATTGTCGACCACTTGACTCCAGGCAAATGCCCCGTCCTAGCCGGGTTGCTCATGCGCCCCCCGCTGCGCCACACCACTCAACCAGGACAAGAGTCACAGGGTCTTGTGCGCAAACTACTCGGACAGGTCTCAGTTAAAGGAGAAGACATTCTGTTGCAATTAGCTACAGACATCCCGGCTCGTTACCATCGGCTTCGAGCCTCTATCCCAGGAAAACTTTGGCGATGGCGCGACGTTGTTGGGTGGCATTGGACAGGAGAGGCTGAGCATATCAACGCACTTGAGCTCCGTGCAGTGAAAACTGCCTTGGTGTGGAGAGTCAAGGAACTACAGGAGTATGGGACAAAGTGTTTACATCTTGTCGACTCACTTGCTGTTCTGCATGCTCTGTCGCGTGGTAGGTCCAGCAGTAGGAAACTTCGAAGGACTCTTGCTAAAATCAGTGCGTTGTTGTTGGCTAGCGGACTTCATGTAGCCTGGGGCTACATTGACACGAAGCAAAACCCGGCGGACAAACCGTCCCGCCGGCCCATCCGGAAAGGATGGCTAAAAGCACGAAGAAGATAGTTGAAGGCCGCAGCAAGCAGCAACGCCAGAAAGTACGCAAGAGTTTAGGAAAATTGAAGGATCTTACAGTTCAGCCACGCACCCGCCACCGCTATGACCAGTCGCTCCGCCAATTCCTTGATTGGTTGACACGGGAGGGCCTCAGTCTGCCTACTCAGGCCTCCCAGATGGATAACTTGGTGTCCGACTACCTCGAGTTCTTGTGGGCTAGTGGCGAAGGAAAGTCAGTGGCCAATAATGCATTGGCTGCCTTGCAAGACCATGACCCCAACTTGAAAAAGAAGCTTCCAGGAAGTTGGCGGCTCATGAAGGCATGGAACACCGCTGAGATCCCCAATCGTGCGCCGCCGCTCACTCTGAACTTACTGAATGCTCTATGCGGTTGGAGTGTGCTTCAAGAGTGCCCTGAGTTCGGCCTTTCGCTGCGAGTTGCCTTTTTCGGCTTGTTACGCACAGGTGAACTTTTAAATGTGCGCGCTCGCGATGTGTACCTCACCAGTCCGAAAGGGCCGGCCGTGATCTCGCTTGGCTTGACCAAGTCTGGTGCCCGCCAAGGCGCTGCTGAGAGTGTAACTATTCATGAGTCCTCAGTCCTCCCGGGCCTCTACCGCTGGAAAACACAGGCCCGACCACAAGATTTCCTCACAGTGAAAGCGCATGCTTGGAGACGACTTTTTAACCAGGCCATTGAAGGCCTCAAGCTCCAAGGCTATGCATACCGTCCATACTCCCTTCGGAGGGGAGGTGCCACATTTTTCTTTCAGCACCACGGTAGTTTTGACCGCCTCCTAATTCAGGGGCGGTGGGGAGCCGCGAAAACCGCTCGTATATATCTCAACGACGGGCTCGCCCAGTTGTCAGAGATTTCTGTCCCAAATTCGCAGTTGCGGTCTTACCTTTCTTTGTACCACAAGCACCCAATGCTTGAGCCTGGGATCCGGAAGGATCCCAGGCCAGGGGGACGTGGAAGGCCCCGGAAAACACTGTCTTTTCTTTTGTGTCGATTCGTCAGGGTTTAAGAGTGAAATGAAACCCTCAAATGACCGACCTTGAAAGGGTGAAATCAAGGTGGTCCCTCTCAGGTGTTCGGGCTCATGGGGCGCCGGTTTGGCGGCAGCTGCCATGAGGGGCACAGGGGGGCACCCCCTTCTTCCTGGTTTGGCGGAAGTCGTGGGGTGTCGGGGCCCCGAGAGGTTATTGTTTTAACCATGCGTTCCATCGAACTCTTTCGATTCCAGACAAACTGGCTGCAACGCGTGAAAAAGACCGGCGGCTGTGATTATATATACAACAATCAATATATTAATATATAGTTCTAATTAGTATTATCAAACACTATATGTTATATATAGTTCTTATATAGTTCTTATATGTTAACTATAGTTCTCTATATAGATATCCACATATATAACTTTATATATGTATACACACCGTTTTTCAATATCAACCGTCTATACATGACATACAGTAACGGTTGCCGATTGGTGCTGGCCGTAGAACGACCACCCGTCAGGTCCCTGCGCTGAGTCTCGACCGGAAGGCGGGGCGCCGCGCTCTGCGAAGTCATGGAAGATGTTCTCAGGTTATAGGTTATAACATCTTCCAGACATAGGTTATAGGTTATCTATAACATCTGTCATGGTATGTCATGGTTCATCATCTTCCAGACGCCAAATATACAATGCAAAGACTAGGTTGTTTTAATATACCTAGATCTTCAAAAGAGCACTTATAAGTGCTCGTGTGGATTTGTGATCGTTTTCACTAAAAGTGCTCGATTGATATATTTGCGCTCGAGTGCTTTGCTTCAAGGTCCAAGTACCCCCCCCCACACACACACACACAAACACACACACACTATTCCCTGCAAAATCACTTCTGCTTTTCGCCGGGAGCCTTAGGCTCGGGTTCCACGTGAAACTCTTGGCCGCGAGTCGCAGCGTTTCGACTGGATCTTTCTCCACTATTTTTTGTATTTGCTACTACCACCAAGATCTGCACCAGTCTTACACTCTGCGAGATGCTTGGTCCCACTGGGCCTTGTAGCTAATGAGAGACTTTCGAATTGTGCTAAACGCCACACGCAGGCTGTGGGTCCGTCTGCTTTGTCTGCTAATTCTTCCTATGTAGTCTTCATCGCTCCAGCACATAGCACCTGGTTGCAGTGGAGGTGGAAGGGTGATCTTAACAGAGGAAAACTGCAGCAGTGGCTAAGGATCCTACACGCCGGAGAAAGAATCAGCCGCGGTTCTGCCGATCGATCTAGATGACATTCCATCTCTCTCCTAGGAGCACGTGCATATGCAATTGTAAAGGGTCCATGCGAGGTGCCACTAATATACTTTACCGAGTTTCACTACATGTTGCATCATGTGCAGCTTTGGCCTGATGTACCACAGCGCCCATTTCTGCAAAGCAGCCAATCTCGCCAATGCTCCGTATGCCTCCTCAAAAAGGACTTCTTTGAAAGCTAGCTATTGAGGGTGTTACCTACCACCTGCGCTACTTGCATAACAAAGTGTCAGTCATGTTCCACCCACACTTGACCGCTTCTTTGGTCTCTTCAGTGGAGAGCCAAAGCTGGCCACCATAGAGAATCCGAAAGAATCTGCAGCCAGCTCTGTTGCCCCATTTGAGAACGGTAAATATGTCCCTGCAAGGAGCCTAGGCATCATACTGTGCGCTAGCCAGCTATATACATATATGAAGCTGAGGCATTCATGCACACATGATTCGAAGAATTTAAAAGCACCGGTCACCTAGCACAATAAGCACCGTACAGGAATTGAATCTTCGGTCACGCTATCCAGCACTGCCTCTAACCAAGCCCCGATGAGGCCAGTATCCGAGCCTTTTCCGAGACCTCTGGGAAAGGTCTTCAGCCTGGGCTCGGACGCTCGGACAGGATGCTGCGTTGGAGTCACGCACGTGGTAGGAACAGCGCTGTAGTTGAACGGTTGTACTGTACTCATCACACAGGCCTAGGGCCTATAGTATAGACCATGCAATGGCCAAGAAACGACTTCATTTTGAGTTCCTCCTTCGCAAAGGATGTCAAAGTAGATGTCTTTTTGTTTGCCCTACACCAAGACTTGAAGTGGTCAAAGGCCAAGTCGAGCTGTTCTTGATAAGGGGAACCATGCCCGCCAAAAAACCCCACACCGAACGCTTAGGAAAAGCAGTCCAGAGGCCACCTCATCCTTGCCGTAGCCTATCCCCCATGTGTGTGCCAGGTCAATCTTAATCTTGTAGGGGTCATCACCACCAGGAAGCATTTTCCTGATGGCGGCCACTTCACCAGCTTTGAATGGAGAAACGGGAGCTCGCCCACGATATGGCCAAGCTCTAACAGCAGAAGTTGGTCCACAGTTGTGCCAGTCCTAGGTAGTGACAACCAACCCCCAAACCAATCAAATCCAGACCATTGGTAGCCATCATAAATGCAATTGAGGATCTGTGCCATGGCATATGTGACAGATCACCTTTGATGTAAAACCTGTTTTTAGGTCATAGACGGACCGCAGCCACGGCCAATCCCCCTTCGCACCCAAGAAGCGGAAGTAAAAGTGATAGTGCTCGTTCTGCCAAACCACCTGTCGCGCAGTGAACGTGGGAGGTGGCACTATATGATCGAATGCTATTGTGCATGAAAAGTGCATGGAAACCACCTGAATCCCTTCTTGATACAATCGGTTGGCGTCGTGCACAAGGAACTCCATCAAAGATTGAAGTGTTCGCCCTTTTTTCACATAGCATTCCGAGGGGACCACGGAAAATAGCAATCTTGTTGTGTACGTATGCCTAAGCTGCGCAGATAACAAGAACCTAGCAAGAACCGGAAGAAGAACACTTGGCAGCCACGTGCCGTGACAACAACTATCGCAGCGAGTTGCTGTTTGGCATTGACAGCATCCTCACCCGACCATGGAATTATGGTTTGGTAGCTTATAACCAAAAGAGGCCGCTTACCTTGACCTCTTCCTTCATCACCATGTAAAAAGTATCCAATTGTTCGCTCTGGGTGATCCGGCATGCCTTCTTCAACAGATTGGTAGCGGGTCCAAAACCTGCGGAGCATAGACTCAATCTCATTGATGTCACTTAGGCGATGGCCACCCAGAAGAAAGAAGCCTGCATACTTTCGGTGCTCCATGCATGTCTTGCACCAGCTAGAGAGATAACACACCGGCCAAGGTCTTTGCACAACTTTGCGGCGGTGGTTGATCCTGATTGGAATCTCGGCCGCATCAATTTGTACCCCAAGTGTCCGCTTCTTTCTATGTATGAAGCTGTGCAATGCACGGCTACAATTGGACCTGTGCTTGTCAAACTTTGCCACACTCGCCAGTTCAGAGATCTTCCGGTCGTAGACACCTGGGCCAGGGATTTGTTCAAGAAAGCCTCACCTATTTGGAGCGCATGCAGCTTCCAAAGCGCAGACAAGGCACCATGTTTGTCAAGGAGTTTTTCCGTCTTGGTCGCATCAGCCAGCACTGACTTCGCACTAGCCTGGGCTTAGGGAATTCCGGGATGAAGGGACCAAGGGTTCAAGCTTCAGCTATTGCTTGCATGCAAGATACACCATCCGCAAAGTTTTGGACGAAGCTGTTGACAAGGTCATCATCAGAGGAGTCCGAGTCAGACACGCCTCCGGTTTTCAGCTAGCCATGGTGTGCCAAGAGCATGGGTAAATATAACTCAGTATCGCTAGGACTCCAACCTAGCGGAATTGTTTGGCCTTCTTGAGTTTCTTGTAGAGCACCTGGCAGAACATGCACATGTACCTAGAATCCGGCAATCACTTCCGCTTTTGCATGTGGGTCTCCTTGAAGACTAGGCGCACAGTGCCACTTTCTCACCCTGCAGATACTGTCGCCCAAACTGTTTACGCACATGGCCATGGATGTTCACGGCCATGCGTGAGTCCATTGTGTCTAAAAAGGGCATTCACGATGCACCCCCAGAAAAAGAAAAACAGCGATGTGAAGAAGTCTGAAAGATATTGATCAGCATCGTGGTCTAAGCCCAGACACAAAAAGCCCTTGGCTCATTTACAAATGGTACCAGTCTATTCCTTCAAATCTTTCTTGGCCTTTTTTTTCTCCTTCTTTGGAGCGGCCTTCGCCTTCGCTTTACCGGAACTTCTGACTGCGTTCCCGCCCGAGGAACCCCCCCTTCACATTCCTCGACCGGCGAGCAGGCGTCGAAGCGAGGTTTGGGGAGATCAATAATTTAAGCACAGGCTGAGACCAAATTAGTTCGTATTACGCGTGATAATTTTCAGGGAAGCTGCTTGGCTCTCATCAGCAAACTGTTCATGGCAACGTCCAGCTTAGTGCATTCGATGAACTCCTTTTGGATTGCTGATCGCTTGGTCCTGCACTAGATGGAACCAAATCATATGACTTCTTAACCATGGAAAATGCATGCAAGAGTCCTGTCCAACAATTCTGGCTGCACAGTGGCTTCAGAAAGAAACCCCGCCAGTTTGTCATAGACATGCTGCAGCTTGTCCCTTTGCTGTTTGACTTGGGTGAAAATCCTGGGCACGCCCCATCCCCCAACATAATGTATAGCAATGTAAAGCATGCACAAATGCACAAGTGTTGGCAACCTTTTGCTTCCTAGTAACGAATTTGCTGGAGCAGTGCCAACAGTGCTCAGGCGGTCCTTCAATGGAAGCTGACACGATCAAGCTTGGGTGGTGGGGTTGGAGTGAACAGAATTGCACACAGTGCAGCCGAAACATTTGAAACAGGGTCCAGTTCATTATCTGTTTTGTCCATCTTTCTACCAAGAACTTCCAGGAAGTTAGGTAGCACTTGCACCGGCGAAGTGGTTTCCGTCAGTGTCGGAAATGATAGCCTTAGACGCTTTTTTGGTGGGTGAGCACATACGCTATATAGCAACATCAGCTAATTAAATATATATATGGTTTTTGGAAATGCTGTTGAGCTACTTGAAGCTCAGAACAGAACCTGTGGCATTGACATTCGGCTTTGGAATATTCGCATTCGCCCCTGAACCGCTGCCAGCGGCCACATCGCCAGGATCCGGAAGATCTGACTGGAGAAGGGTGCCAGCCTCGTCCTGTCCGGCTTAACTGGGCTCAGGTTTTCGAGAGGAGGTTGAACATGTGCTAAAACAATGGTGTCCGGAACTTTCTGCATGTAATCATTTTCGGGCCCTTTTCCGGACACCCCTTTGTTCACCCCATCCTGAATGGTAAAGGTTCCACAGCGTTCCACCTCCTCGATGTCTTGGCTGAGGTTTTCAAACGTCTCCCGAAGTACGATTTTAATTTCCTCTTCGCCATGCACAGGGTTCACCCTGTGCCTGACTCCTGGTGGAAACGTTTGAGCCCAGGCCCAAGCTCGTTCAATCATTTTCCTCAGTCCACAAAGTAAATGGGCTCCAGCGTGCATGCGAGAGATTGGGAGGTTGAAGGAATGGTCGTTGACCCCCAAAAAAAAGCTAGTTTTAAGAGTAGGTGGTTACTGGTTCACAGGATTCCGCCAAATACCTGATTAGCCAAAAGTCGAAGTCCACCCTTCTTTTTGCAATGCTGCCTTTGTATACCAACCACCCTGCACACCCTCAGAAGCAGTCTTCAAATGCTTCTTGCGGACATAAACCTCAAGTTGTCCAAAGTCCCCATGTTGCGCAAACTTCTCTCTCAGCTCGTCACCTGAGTTAAGCCGCTTGAAACACGTACAGCTCTAGGAAGCACACACTTTGCAGTAGGTACCCTTGTACACACTTGTAACTATATATATACCCGACATATATACGAGGTAAAATATCATGATATACCATGTATGCAGTTGAAGGGACGACCTTTGGATGTTCTCCACATATCCATGGCTTCTTTACTGCATTTGAGGTCACCGTTGGACTTGGGAGTGAAGTATCGGCGTAACCTCAGTTCGCACAAACAAACAAATCTTGGGCGTTCTCCCAACCCCCACTTAAGAACCAGGGCCTACCACTTGCACCCAGTAACTTCCAGTACCCTGGCTCAACGCCTTTCGGCGCCTCGATCAAGGTGTCCACTTCTTCCATCAATGGGCTCTCTACCACGGTCGGGCTCGCCATCAGGCTTTCTGGTGGTGGGGGCACAGTCGGGGGAGGAACTACCGCTTCACCTGTCTGTGAAGCGGTAACCACTGGCACTGGATGAGAACCACAAACCTGCATTGCCGGCTGGGCATCAGGAAGTTCCACCTGCGAACCAGAACCCTTGGGCAGTGTATCAGGGACCTTGCTCAGGAACCAGTCTTGGGATTGTGCATCATGGTGCATACTTTCTGATGAGTCTATTGTAGCCACTGCCTTCTCCATAGCAGTACCTGCTGTCTCCTCTTCATCCAAGTCAATCATGATTTGGGTCTCGGCTACCTTGGGATGCCCTGTCTCTGCCGGCGTCTCGTTTGGCTGACTTTCAGGGATTCCTGCGCAAAACGTTCCTGCCTGTTCTGCCATTGGGAGCGCACCTAAGTACATGCAGGCTTACAGGATAAGACACATACTATGGATGTCATGCATACCTTGAACAATTGACCATATGCAACTGGGGCACCAGGTTCGGATATGTTTGGCTTGTCAGTTGAAGGCTGGTTCGATAGTTTGCGCCGTAACGCTTCAATCCGTACTTTTTTTTTCCTATAGGGTTGCACATGTGCAATCTGCAGAAAACACAGGCATGCATACATGACTAATTGAACAGTGAGGCTGCTGCCTCAATCAACTTCTCCAACTCTCGCTTGCGAGATGGCTTGCCATCATCCGACACATATTCCACGGTTTCCATTCCCTTGATCAAGGTCTGACTCGAGTCTGTCCGGGACGCCATCAGTACCATATATATACCCTACAAGGTCGTTTCAGCCCAAAAGTCCTTCGGGAAAAAGTTCAAAGAAGCATCGACTGTGTTTGTTCCACAAAAACGCCCGGTAAAAGCGACAAGAGGACATAAAATTCCTGATAGCTACCAACTCAAAGAGCACTTTTTAGATTTGCGGGTGTTTGCGCGATTTTGCGGTTGTTTGCGGCTTTTTGCGCTCGAATTGCGGCCTCCCCACGGCTTTGATTTTCCAGGAAATGGCTGTAGGCAACACTACAGCAGTGAAAATATTGCGAAATCAGTGACCAGGGCACATGGCATATGACTTTTGGCTTAGGGTCACAAACAGGTTCTGATTTACAACCAGAACACCTGGTCAACATCGCAGACCCAATCTAATTGCCCGGCATCAGCCGTAAAGGCATTACAGCCTAAGACCCATCTTTTTGTAGCGAGCGCAACTCTGAGCGCAAGCCTTCATCACCAAGCACCTGAGAGGTTGGTGGTTACTTGGGGTAAAAGAAGGAAGAATGTTCTGCAGAGTACTGAGGCAACTACTAGGTCCTGATATGTGGCTGAGAACTCTGTCATAGTCGCCATCCACTTTGATGGGATCCTTTCCAAAAATTGGATTGATATACACGCGGCCTTCAACTATATATATATATATACACATGGGAAATCTGGGGCCTGACTTTCTTGGAGTTCATGAGGTAGACCAAGCAATCAACCAACCCGGCATCTTCCCAAAGGTCGCCCATGGGTAAGTTCTGGAATACTTCAACTTCATCAGCACCTTGACCAGTCAGTGAGGTTTGGGGTTTAAATCTCAAATCCCGGCGGCCAGGTGCTGTTGCTGCCAAGTGGTCTTCGTACATGAGGCGAAGATTGTGAGCGAAGCCAGCCGGGTATTGCCTGAGTTACCCACAATCTCCCCCACCCAGAACCCCCAAAGGCAACAAACAAATCTCGATCTAATTCTGCATGAATAGGGGTAGGTTCAGCCCCCTAGTACGCTTTGACTGCAGCTGGGACTCTGAGATTTGCCCAGCTGGTCTCGGTTTCCCACAAAGCGAGGGGTTCCGTCTTTGGAGATGTATTTTCCTGAGCGCGGCATGGATATATATATATATATAAGTCCAATGCATATGAGTCCAAATGCCATTTGGTCAAAACCATATGCCATATGCCACTAAAGTTCTTGTTAACTTGGCAGTGGTTCTCATCTCCTTTTCTTTTCTGGTGAGAACGCCTAAATTCAGCCCAGCAATCTCGATCATGTTCGAATATAGTGTAGTCGGTTTGGGGCTGGGAGCCCCATGGAGCAACATCCACAGGTTCTGTTGGTACACCTGGGGCAAGGGCATGGGCATGGTGTGTGAACCACATGTTGAAAGAACTGCAGCATTAAACGCAACTGGGTAACAAAAGACACATGGTTTGACAGCCATTGGAAGCGGCTGTGTCTGCACAGCAAACTGTTGAGAGGCTGCTCTAGTACGTAGACCAAATTCCGTGATAAAGCAACCAGAATGCAAAGAACGCACCTTGGTAGAGCCATTAATGCTTTTTTCCAAACATGGGAGATTGCATATGATTGGTTAATCCTGTATGCATATTAATTCAACCAAAAGTCCGGCTCACCATTTGGTTCGCAGCTTGAACCCAAGGGGAAAAGACATTTCCATGGTAATTGATAAAATTACGCAGGCTTGATCCACGGGCCGGTATTCCCCAGCTGCTGCAGTCCGGTGCCAGCAGCAGGAGTGAATGGATGGGCATCGACGTGATGACCCAGAGCGCCAACCTCAAGTGCGGGAGCTGCTGGATGGCTGGGCGTGGCGACACAGTGTACTGAGGAGGTCATGTTCAGGTAGTTCGAACCTTTAGCTAAGAAGCAGGAAACCTGGTGCTGAATTGAACTGCATGGTTTTGTCATCGAATGTTCGGTCATAGGACGCCGTGCGGTATCCGGACGCATGCCTGGGGCTCACAAGCTCCACGAATGTCTTTTTTTCCTTTCGATCTCTCTCTCTCTCTCTCTCTTTCTCTCGAGTCTCAACCTATTTTGAGGACTTGTTGGAGTACAAGGCCGGTGCATCTCCTTAGTGCAAGCTTGCTTTCCTGCAAAGACTTCAAAGAAGCCAAATTGGATTGAGCCCTCTCCAAAGGGTACATCCATCCAGCCCAGTAGCAACACCTGGGCGGACAAAAACAGGTGATATACTATATATATGAATACGCAGACTCCTCATGAAATAAGGCGTGGACAAGGGCGATCAACACCTGAGCAACATCTTTTCCCCCCAGGCCCTAGGTCTTTGTATATGATATCGCTCAGACTCCGGCTTTCGGAGCTTGGACATGCTGTAAGTTCATCAAAGGAGAGCCCGGCATATTGCAGCTTGATTCTTTTCTACCAAAAGGACTTAGGCCCAAAAGCTGCTTCATACAACAAGCTGATTTGAAAAAGAGTGCAATCTAGAACTCTTGGCACTATACCCTCCTGAACCCTATCAACAAATGCGGAGACGACCTCTGAGGTTGGCATCCTTTGCCAGCACGCCAGATCTTACAGGCATGGTGCCCGACCTGCGAGTGTCAATATGCCAATCCACCATTGCGTGTTTGACACATGTCTGGGGTAGAAGGCTTTTTGGGAAGCTCGAAGCTAATTTGGCAAACATGCCTGAAGAAAAACACATGGGCAATCTCAAACAACAGCCTGAAGAAAGATCTCTTTTGACGACTGCGGGTGTTGAAGTTTAAGCTGCATGGGGCTTTCCCCACTGCTACGGCATAGATCGATAAGATTGCTTTTTAGCAATTTCCCCATGGCTTTGAAGCTGATGCTTCAACGCAACCCCCAAAAGATGAACCCCGCAGAAGCGATGCTTCTGTCAGCTGATCAGAGCATAGCCACTCTCAACAAGTGTTTTTATATGCCTTAGCCATATTGAGCACAAGCTCTTGGTTGGACAGGTGGAAAGAATCATATGCAAACATATGCACATGAAAGCAAACAGCGCATATGTATTTTGGATCAAGATGCGAGTTTCGCGGCAGCAAGCGCTTCTGGCAAAGATTTGCCATCCTGGAGTGCTTTCCGCTTCGCCACATGGTACGCGGATGACTTTCGAGACTGCTTGGCTTTGGTCTCACACTTGGCCTTCTCCCTTTCCTCTTCGGTCCGTTTACCTTTACCCTTTTCTTCCTTCTTGCCCTCCTGAGACCCTGCTGACTTTCCTTCCTCCTCCTCATCCTGGTCTTCTTCCTTCTTCTTCTTTGCCTTGCGACCTCCTGCCGGCTTTGCTTTTTCCTTCTCATCCTTTTCCTGGTTTTCTTCATCCTTCTTCTTTCGCTTCTGACCTCCTGCCGGCTTTGCCTCCTCCTTCACATCCTTTTCCTGGTCTTCTTCCTCCT